GTCCTGCAGGTAACATCAGATGACTGTCATCTAAAAGAGTAAAAATATGAAATCAAGATATCGCTTGAGTAGCCTAGAACTGTATTTACCCAAAATGACCTCTGGTGCACGATAATGGCGTGTTGACACCACATAGCTGTGATCCTGATGTTCAAATGTTGTACTCCCAAAATCAATGAGCTTAATGGCACTTGACTTGGGCAGATTCTTGAAATAGGAACCCTCTTTAGTCCAACGTGATAGAAACTTGATTGAAATTAAGGAAAGAAATTAAAGTGTCAGGATTTTGAGCTTTACTAAATTACCAGGCTAAGAGGTACAAGATCTGTAGATGGCTTGGGATGAAAAAATATAACGTAAAATGATGCTGCCAACTTACCAATTAATGTAATGAGGAACAAAAGTAAAATATAGAGAGATGAGAAACAAAAAGCAAGATTTAGGAAATGATACCTTATAGTCTGGCACTTTAATGTAGTCGGAGGACACAAGCAGAATATTCTCTGGCTTCAAATCAGTATGAATAAGGCGTAAATCATGCATAACTGCAAAAACAAACCAGCAACCCATTATTATCATCAAATACATGATATAGATGCATGTCATGCAATAATCTATCATGCCTAGAATTCAGCTTTTATACTTAAATGTTTGAGTAACATGTTGCAAAAATTTAGATAAAATGGCAAGAATTGTCCACACACATGCTACAGACTCCAAAAGTTGTGCCAAGCTCCCGAACAAGATCAATGGGAAATGAACGATAGCTGTTTTTGCGAAGAAAATCGTATAAGCTAGGTCCAAGCTTCTCAAACACCTGTTGAAACCATTTCAACCCATCCGCAAGTTTTTTTTAACTCACAGAAAATTCAGGCATAAAGGGACATATACTGCCCCTCCAAACTAATTAAATCAGAAGTATCAATAAATACTTACAATACAAATATGATTACGATAGTCAAACCAATTCCGTATTTGCACACAACTGCAAAGAATAAAACCGCTTATACCACCATCACTTTAAACTTCTACAACCAATAAGGGTGACAGAAATAAAAATATCCTTACCGAGTGCCACCAATATCATGCCTTGCAAGCCTTTGTAGGACATCAATTTCAATCATCGCAGCTTCACGATACTTATGTATGGAGCGGACAATTTTGATTGCCACAAGTTCTTTCTTTTCGTTGTCAATACACTCTAACACTTGCCCAAAAGTCCCTGGAAATTCATAGCCAAAATATTAAAATTTTATTCTGAGTGTAGATTTTTCACCCAAGAAAGCAAGAAATACCAACCCTCTCCCATTTTGCTGAGAATTCTATCTGCAAGTATGATGAGGAAATTGTATCAATACGTGTAATTGATAAGAAAAAAATAAAACTAACCCTATTCAATTCATGATGAGGTAAGGAAAAATCACCTCCTTACATATAACAAGACCTACATTACACAACGGTTAAAGGGACTTACATCGAGGGGTTAGATTTTCTCCGATGCCAAACACGTAATGACCATCTTTATCATCAGGTCTCCATGGAGGGGAAGCATTTCGAGGCACTCCCCCATAAAACATAGACGTATATGTGTAATTCGGGATCGGCCCATTCCCAAACTCCTGCCCGCAATAAAATGCCGGGAGCAGCTGCAAAACATATTAAGCATAATCAGATAACTGCATTACAGATACATATACATAATTCAACAATCTCAATTCTAGAACCTAATTACCCAATTCCTAAAATTCAAATTAATTCCGTCCCTAAAGCACAAAAATATCAAACAATCCCGAATTGAAAATTGCGATTACGTAACAAATTTAATAAAAACTGAAAATTGTGACTACAAAAATTAAAATTTAAAAAAATAAAAAATAAAAAATAAAAAATAAAAGACTACGAGAGACAAACCTCGGGAGGAGGAAGAGGAGGGGGCATATCCCATGCTAATCGAGGTCTCTTTCTCGGCCGCTTATCCATATTCTTGTGAGGAAATTCCATTATCCTCTGCGTTTCCATAATTCCCCTAATTTTTTCGCTTCCTCAGCGAAACACAAATTCTCTCTTGAGAGAGCAAAAATTTCAACGAATAAGAAATTCAGGACCTAATTAGGGTTCCGCGAATTTGAAATTTGAAAATTTGAGATAGGATTTGGGAGAAATTGATATAAGATTTGGGGGAAATTGAGAGGGGATTTTTTTGAGCTCTGAAAACCCTAATCTTGGATCTGAAAGCTCTAAACCATGAGATGGGGACGGAAACTAACCCTGGTTAAGGGGTTGGGCTTCGGGTTAACTGGGGAACCAAGACGATAAGTTAACGCTCCGATTTTCCAACTATGGTTAGATAAATGGGCCCCGCAAATTTTGATTTGCTTAGGCGCGTGCGGTCCCCGCCCGACTGGTTTTATGTGTCGTGCGCGCCTTTCTGTTGCGTTTTTTGACACGTGTCGATAAGTGGTCCCGTGAGAAGTCGCGCATATTCGAATTTTATTGATTTGGGCTTTGTAATTTTTGAACGGCCCGGCATACAATTTGTACCAAGAAGCTCAAATGGGTTTTTTTTTTTTTTTTTGAACTTTAACGAAAAAATTTCTAGTATTGTTCATTTTAACGAAAAATTATATTTTTACATTAAAAAGTCAATCTTGGTACTATTTATTTTACCTTTTATTTTATTCTTATCCTTAAAGCTCAAAGTTTTCAAGTCATTTTCATTAGTTTTTTTTTTTTTTTTTTTGGTTTTTATCACAAATGGTCCCTGAAATTGACTCACCCAATCAAGATGATCTCTGAAATTGAAAATCGATAAATGTAGTCCCTGAAAATGACTATCACAAATCAATGTGATCCTTCAATTAAAAATCTGTCAAATTTTTGTTATGTGCTAATGTGATACATAATTAAGTCTCACAAGTCTAATTAAATATTTTTATAAGAATTACATATATTTAAATAAAAATAATAAATTTTGTTTTTATATAATAAAAAACTTGAAAAATAAAAATGGAAAAACAGAAGAAGAAGATGTATACCTACCCACTCGCAAAAATCAGCTGCATCAAGTGCATAAATTCATGAATACATTTCATCAAGAACACACACAAAACAGACATTAGAACAAAAGCCATTGCAACCTTGTGTCATAAATATAGAAATTTGTGTTCACTCCAAAATTCAAGGTGAATCAAAAATACAAAGGATGATTTTCTAAAACATACAAATTTGAAGAGTTTGTTGAACATTTTGCATTTAGCGTGCATCTTTCATTAGATCTGAATTATGAAACATGGAAGAAGAAGCATGAACAGTTCATCTTCTTTTTTTTAGCTTTTTTTAAGTTTTTAATTGTACAAAAAGAAAATTTGTTTTTTATTAATTAAATATTTTTAATTCTTATAATAATAGTTAATTATACTTAGTGGATGTCACATCAGCATATAATAGACTTTTGGACAGATTTTTAACGGATGGACCACGTTGATTTGCGATGCACATTTTCAGAGACTACATTAATCGATTTCCAATTTCATGAACTATATTGATTGGGTGGGTCAATTTCAAAGACCATTTGTGATAAAAACTTTTCTTTTTTTTTTTGAAGAAACCTAAAGCCTTCAATTGGTGACCTCAAAGTCCAATATGACTGCTTGCAACTTCATGTACCTACATAGGCATTAACATCAATTAGATAACGTTGCAATCTTCAGCTAAGAAATTGCAAAGCCAATCCGGCACATGAAAAACACCCCAGCTATAGGAAGAACCCCCCAAACGGTTAACCAAGGGAAGTGAAAAGGTGAGCAACACGGTTACCAGCTCTCGGGACATAGACATGTAGAGATCGCATCGCCAAAAGCTGAATGTCATACACAATACATGCGATAGCGCCATCTGATCTCCGTGCTTGCCACAATGTATCGACTAGCACCTTCGAATCACTCTCAACCTCGAGTTGTTTCATCTTCTATGATGAAAGAAGTGTTGACACGTGTTCATAAGTGGACCCGTGAGAAGTCACGAGCATATTCGAATTTTATTGATTTGGGCTTTGTAATTTTTGAACGGCTCGACATACCAGTTGTACCAAGAAGCCCAAATGGGCACACCAAAATAGTTGAGTTTTCAATATTATCAAAATACCGTTCCTTTATTTGTCTATTTGCCCATGAACTTCAACAGAGATGTCAATTTCTCCTGAACTTAAATTTTAGCCAGTTATCCCTTGAACTTTAACAATTAGCCAATTTTTCTCTTGAACTTTAATTTTAGTTAATTACCCAATAGCCAAGTTCCCTCTTGACGCTAAATTTTTAAAAATTTCATCCAATTTTTTTATCCATTCTGACCATGCAGACAACATACGATAACTATATGGGCAAAAAGAATGGAATTTTGGATGGATGAAAAATTTAAAATCTAATGCTATAGGGGGAAATTGGCTATTTATAAAATTTTAGGGATAAGTTCCCCTGGGGGGAATTGACTAGTTATAAAAGTTGAAGAGGGTAATCGGCTAAAATTACAGTTCATCGGGGAAATTGGCATCTCTATACAAGTTCAGGGGACAAATCGATAAATACCTCCCCTTTATAAAGATATAGATTGCAAATATATTGTAACATGGGAATCTAGTAATATACATGTTTGCAATATTTACAATTGGATTTATTGATTTGAATCATTGATTGCATTTCTTTACGGTTGTTTTCGAAACGCCAATGCCTCTAATTGTTCGTTGATGGAATCCATGATTTATGACTGATGTGGAAGAATCTGTCCACAAACACACAGATGACCCATCAGGTTACATGTGCGACGGGGTGGGTGGGTCATCTGTGTTTGCTTCAATATAACGATACCACCATCTGGAATCCGTGCTTGGTTCAATATATCGACCAGCACCTTCGAGTCACTCTCAACCTCGAGTTGTTTGCATCCGGCAACACACATGCTTGGATTCAAAAAACCAAAACATGAAAGCATTGTTGAGCATCTTCTATGATGAATTGGATCTATCAATCTGTTGTTTCATTGCAAGAGCTTAGAAGCCTTGTGGCAATTTGACATATCGATTGGAGATGCTGGAGCCTGTCTACATACTTCTCCCTTAAATGCTCTATACAAAATTTTTAACATGGTAAAAATTTCATTCAATTGCGGATGATTCTTATCCCCAGTAACAAATACATGAACTTTGTTCCTAACTTCTATCCAACTGCAGCCTGGAACCCTCTTTAGTCCTTTTTCTTTCATTTCTCTCCGTACTGTTGAGACACTCTGCCATCTCCCAGCTGCAGAATGTGCATTGGATACCATAACATACGATGACACATCTTCTGGATCCAAATCCAGGATTTTCCTAGCCGCAAACTCCCCCAATTCCGTATTCGAGTGGATTTGGCAGCCACCAAGCAATGCCTTCCAAAATCCAATACCCGGTTCAAAAGGTAGATTGCAGATGAACTCCTCAGCTTGTGTGAAACACCCCGAGCGCGAGAGTAAATCAACCATACAAGCATAGTGCTCAGGCTTTAGAATGCTAGAGTCCTCAGTTCTTGCCTGATTGAAATATGAGTAACCTTCATCGACAAGACCAGCATGATTACAAGCCCACAATAAGCCAAGAAGTGTAACGCTATTCGGTCTGCAACCAGAAACCCTCATCCTTTCGAAAAATCCAATGGCTTCCTCTCCTTTACCATTTTGAGCATAACCACATATCACAGCATTCCAAGAAACAATGTTTTTTCCCTCAAGTTTAACGAAAACTAAGAGACTATCTTCCATGCTTCCACACTTTGCATAAAAGCTAATTAATGAATTGCCAATGAAAACATCAAGCTTACCCAAGAACTTGACAGCACAGGCATGAAAGCTCCTGCCCATTCCTAGTGCTGCTATGTTGGCAGCTGCAATGATGGCACATGGAAAAGTAGAATGGGTAGGCACCAATCCATCTCTAAGCATCTCGGCGAAAAGATTTACAGCCTCTTCATTGTGGCCTGTTTGGCTGTAGCCTCCAATCATTGCATTCCACGAAACAACATTCCTCACCGGCATCCCTCGGAAAAGAAGCAGGGCATCTTCAAGCTTCTCCTTTTTCAGGTATGCGCATATCAACGTCGTGTAAGAAACCACATTCGGGTACTGGGTATCTTCGAAAGCTCTTTGAGCATCTTGGCTAACGCTCAACTTGGAATAAAGATCCAAAATTGCACTCCCCACAAAGACGTTCGAACGCAAACCCGTTTTTGTTGCACAGGCATGAAGCTGCTTGCCTATTGATAGGTCTCCGAGTGCGGTCGACGAGTGAATGACAGTGCCGAATGTGAATTCGTTGGGGATAATACTTAAAACAAGCATCCTAGAAAAGAGATAAATAGCTTCTTCGTGACGGTGCTGCCGAGCAAATTGGCCTATTATTGTTGTGGCCGATACCACGCTCAAGGCAGGCGTTTCGTCGAACAGTTGGCGTGCATGCCAGAACGCATCCGAGTTTCTTGCTTGCAGAGAATGGGTATGTGCTTTCTGGGTTTCAGTAAAAAGGGAACAAGCTGAAGTGTGAGATTTCCTCGGTATCAAGTGAGAGAAAGGGGACCTGCAAATTAGGGATTTCATGTGTTTGTGTTTTGGTGGGTAATTTTGGGGATCAAATAGCCATGCGGGAAGGGCATGCTGGATAGCCTCAGAAATGTAACTTCATGCGTTTGAACGCGTTAAAAATTGGCGGGTTCGGTGCAATTTTTGGCCTAATTGTGGGTGCAACACGTAAAAACATACCGTTAAAGAATAGTAAGTGTGCCTCTTGCACTAGAGAAATTCTTGTGTGCGACATCCGTATGCGGACATCCATATAATTTATTTTTACATGGCCATATGTATGTGCAATATCATATTAGACTATTAGTGGGATTACGCATGGGCTTAGGTGTTGAAAATGGTAACGGATATCCTATTTTGTGTATGTGGCCGCATAAACACGTTGTCCATCATTCGTATCTTAAAATTTATGCATGTAAAGGGTACCAAACTCAAACAAAAGAAGGATCCCTCTTTTGTGAGGAGGGTTGGACGACTGATGTGATATGGGTGTCAAGACCAAAGAACTTATCTCTATAACACTCAGGGGATTAATAAGATAGATCGATTGTGAATATTACACACATGATGAGTCAAACAGAAATTATTAAGAGACATGAAAATTTTCCTACTTGTAATGCAACATAGAAGAAATTACATGTTTTCCTTCGAGAAATTATAAGTGAATAAAAAAAAAAAAAAAAAAAAAAAAGGAAAATCCAATGTTTTAAGCCTAATGATTCCCATTAAAAGAATTTTTTTAAAAACTAAATAGAAATTGATTACAGCTTGAAAAAAAAGTTACTTTTGGTACATAAATTGAAAATTTTAAATTACATTAATGTATGACATACATTGCTAAATATAACGATTAAATACAACCATTTCAACTAACCGTAAAAATAGTCAATAACTGATTGTACTGGAATTCAAACCAAATCCAAAAAGCTACACAGTAATTTATTTTATTCAGAAACCAAGATTTGATTTACAACATTCTCCAAACCCATTATTTTATTCAGAAATTCATATACACTAGTCACAAAAGTCCATCTACAAAAAAGATTGTAGTCTCCTACCACTTCATGTTCAAAACCTTCTTCTTTTACCAGTTGCAACCTGAAACTGCATGGCATCCGCATTGTTGTTCCCAAATTGCAATTCCATCCCATTGCTCAAACATGCCGAACCACGAGCGAAATTCAACACAGAAGAAGATGGTATCTGAGAAAATCCAGGTGAACTCTCAAGGAATGAAGCAGACCCACTTGACGAAATCCACGCCGCAAGAAACGAATCAAACTCCTCTTTCTGATCTACTAATGAGGCACAATGATCACCTCCATTAACGAGCGCTGGCGGATTCTTAAAAGAGGGGAGAGGAGGAGGGTTTCTCCACTTGGGAAGAGGTGCAACAAGAAGTGTTTGTAGTATAGGGCCAGCTTCCATCACAGCCTGCATTAGTCTTCCTTTTTTGGGCAGTGGTCTCACTCTAGCAATGTTGTCAATAAGAACTGAACCAAAATCGATCTTCGAACCCACGGGAACAACATTTTTCGTAAACCCCAAGTTGTCCGAATCCAGAAAGTTTGGATTAGGCTGTAGGCCTGGGAAGGAGATAGGAGAACCCAAGTTGCTCTTTGTGGGATATGAACCAAGGGCATGAAAGTTGTAAGATTGGGAGGGCACAAAATTACTATCTGATTCCTTGAGCATAGGAGGGTCTAGGGTTTTTTGGGGGATCGGGTTTTTGATATTGAGTTGTGGTGAGAGGATTGAAGTTTGATCATCTGGTATGGATGATGGCACTAACTTATTCACAAGTTTCTGCAACTGGGTTCTTGCTTCATCTCTTTCTTGGCAAGTAATCTGCCAGAGTTGAAATAACTGCTTCATGATTTCTTCGTTCTTGCTCACCTCCTCTTTCGCCATCATTTTCACTGTATCTAGTTCGTATATTTTGCAGAGAAGCTTGTGTTTCAGTTCATCAACGCTCTGTCAGACATCAAAAGAGATTGAAGTTCAGAAATATGTAAAAACCCTAATAAACATGCAACCAGATGAAAAAGACCTGAAATCATTGTAAATTTTGAATAAAATCACTCACATTTTGATCACTCGAAATGTAAACCATGCTCCCTCTCTCTCTCTCTCTCTACACACAGACACAATAAGAGAAACAGACTCGCAGAATAATTAAATAGAAGAGGGAAATGCAGAGACACAAAAAGGGTAAAAAATGAAGAGGCAGCAAATGATAGGAAGAGTATATGGTACGTTTAAAACCTTGTTAAAATTAACCATATTTGGATTTGATCAAAAAATTACCAACTGCATTATAATAACATTCTTTGTCTCACTAAAAAAAGCTCACCGTAGTAAAGGGATTCTGTCTGATCTCAAAACATTAATCTCTCAATCTCTCACTGTCAATCCAATATATGATTTGCTGTTCTAATTAGTGATTAGGTCAAAAAATAGACCCAGTTCTGCTAATGCACCTTGATTAGTGGTATCTTGACACTACTATGTATCAATCTTTTAGCTAGCATTTCTTTAATTTTGGTAAGTTGTATCTCTTTATAATTAACGACAAAATAAAATAGTTGAAAAGGATTACTTTTACAGCAAACAAACTAACCATAACATTTTATATTCAAAATTCTTGTATTCGAGCGGTTGTAATTAGTAATCTAATCCAAATTATGAAGAGCAGAATTCAAACTTAAGTGTATGAGAGAACATGTTGCTCTAACCAATATGGTTGCGCCAAAGCATGTTGCTCTAATTGGTATGACTATGCCTTAACACAACACATCTTAAGGGGTAGCGGCCATGATTAAAAAAAAAGAATTCTCTTATGCGCGCGACCACGTATGGAGATGCTAGTATTCAATAAACTTACCACAGGGTCATGTGGTCAAGTACATTCAGTTTCTCCAACCTTGTTGAATGAAGTTATGGCATGTTTACTTAAAAAAATGGGGGAAGGAAGAAAATGGAGAACCTAGAAATACCAGGAAAGTAAGGAAAAAGAATCAGATCAACTAGAACCCTAGTTGGTCTGATTTTTAAGTAATTAATTATGGATTTTCAGGGAGAGCTCACCAATTTTCGAGTCCGGATGTGTTAATATAAACGCGAAGAATCCAAAAACCAAGATGTTTCAATTATTATTCCATGTTCTTAAACATGTACCATCCATGAAAAACCATTACACTGCTGCATAATTTAGCCATTCCTTGAAGTTGATAGATTGTGATCGCACCAAAATCTAGAAATACCAGAAACCATGAGAATCTAGTTCATGTAATTTAAGGAGTAATACATGAAACATTTGCAGACCAAAAGGTAAGTCTTTCATCATCAGATAAGATATTGTCCCTTGATCACAATTCATAAAGCAAAGCTTAGATTTGAGAAGCAATTGATGTTCTTTCTTTCTAACAAGTAAAACAAAACAGAGTGAATTAATTAATAACTCATCATATGGTTTAGACATATACAGTAAATTTTTATGCAGACTAATACGTATTGCTTTCTGATTCAAGAAATGGACGTTATTGTTATCTTGTTTCAACTGCCATGTGCCACCTAGGCACCTAAGGCAGATAAGGAAGTTGAAAGTCGGTGAGAAATTCATGCATGAAAGGAAAAGTGCCAACTGAAAGTATGACATGGTTGAAAGATTAAATGCTTTGTCATGGCTGATCCATGCCTAAGGTAAAGCGCTATACTTAATTAGCCTATTTCGGCTAAGAAAGTTGCGTTGTGTTAATGGAAAAAGTTGAGCTTTCACCTCAAAATTAATTAGTAATAGGAGGATTGAATCAGCTGCTTATAAATTTTTACAAGGTTTTTTAACTTTTTGATATAAGACAATTTTTTACATCTTCAAAAGCCCCTCACGTGCGGCAAATTTGTAGCATAACACATGAACAATTGATGAAGAAAGTTGATATTTCACCTTAAAACCAATTGTCATTAGACTCATTACAAAGAGTGTGCAACTTCTTATAAACCTTTACAAAATTTCTTAACCTTCCGACCTGAGATTATTTTTCACATTCACCCAATTAGTTCATTTTTCAATTGGAGATACACACACACACACACACATTACAGAGAGTGTGCAACTTCTTATAAACCCTTACATAATTTCTTAACCTTCCGACCTGAGATTATTTTTCACATTCACCCAATTAGGTCATTTTTCAATTATTGGAGATACACACACACACACTAAAATGAGGTTTTAGATCACTTTTCAATTATTGATTTTATCCCTGTTTTACTGTCTTATCCTTTATTTTTTAGAAAAAATAATAAAAATAACTTTAAAACTTTGAAAAACTAATGAAAAGAGATTCAAAACTTTGAATCTTAAAACTTGAATCTTAAAAAATACTTTAATAACTTTATTTTGTGATTAGGATAAAAATAAATAATAAAATATTAACAAAAATACAAATGATTCTGTCTTGGGTTCCCACTTGGTTGGCTGCCTGCTTTGTAATACCAAAAAATAGGTTGTTGCGCTCCTTTTTCAAACCTAATGCCCCCTCTCTTTTCTCTCTCCTCCTCTTCATCCGTATGTGGCGAAGGCTTACCTAATTATCTCTTATCTCTCCTCCTTCACTATATATATTGCATAAATTTTATTATGGAAAACAATTAAGGTTTAAGTACCTAAAACCCCCCAATCTTTTACTGATATTTCAAATTTGTCTCAACTTTTTTATACATTCCAAACAAGTACCCACTTATTGAAAATCTCACATCCGTAAGTCCTAATTCAATTTCTCTTAAATTAACTAGGGCTTACTTTATCTCAAACATCAATAAAATGTCATGGAAGCATGGCCTCCACCAAGTAACAGTCACACCACCCCATTTAGGCCATCACCTCGAAACCCAACGCATAACCATGGATTCCACCCTACAACTCAAGCTGCCAACATCGAGAAGAAGGTCCTAAGGTTGCTGAAATGTTATGGGCTACCATGATACGGGCACAACCATTTTCACCGCCCACAAAGAAGAATTGGAAGTTTTACTATTCAAAAATCGGCGAATGAGGAAATCAATATGAGTAGAAACAAGCTCCTTGAAACCCTATGGCGAATTCTTAACCCTCTTTTTTGTTAGGAGATTTCCGAATCTTCATTTTTGTTTTCCATTTTATTCGTGAATTTATTTATTTATTTTTTTCATCTTTCTATCTTTTTTGGAGTTATTTTATTATTATTTTAGTGCCCAAGTAAAAAATAAGTGTGACCCATTGTTGCCACATGTACATTTCATGAAAAATTAACAGGGAGTTAACGAATCTGACATTTTCAATAGGTTGGGTACTTGCTTGAAATGCTTAACAAGGTTGAGACCAATTTAGAATGACACTAAAATGTTAGGGGGTTTTTGGTACTTAATCCTGTTGGATATTTGATTGCATATTTCAAAATACAACTCATTAGTCAAAGCAATTCATTAGTCATGTTAATATCATTCTTAATGATTTCTTTTAATCTTAATTGCAATTTTATTAATTGACGCATTAAAGGAGTTATAATGTTGAAGCTCTTAAATCACATTTTATGTTTGAAGATTCCAACTTGATTAACCCATTGTGGAGCCAAAAATAATCACAGGCAACACGTGGATTTTGGGTTAAAATGACAAAATTACCCTCGAGGCACACTGGGATTCCTACACACTTACAGTGGGCAATCATCCCTCAACCAAGTCAAAAGTGTCCAAAATAGGTAATAATTCAAAACCTATTTCATTCATCCTCATCAAATCCTCTCCACAAGGTAACTCCCAAATCATTCCTCTTTTTTAATATTAATTAGCTAATCAATTAGGAAATTATTCTATTAATTAGCTAATTAATTGATTTATTATTCAATTATTCCTAATTAGCTACAAATCATGAACCTCACCCAAAATACCAACCAAGTGGCCGGTCATCCTCCTCCTAAAGGGGTCGGCCACACCTCTATAAATACTACATCATTCTATCCAAAACTTAATTCCAATTTTCTTAAACGAGACGTAGCCCCACCGCGACAATCCACAAGGCTCAACACGGTGGCAAGAGGAGCAACTTTACCATCAATGAGCACCACCACCATGGCAGCCACGGGGACTACCATGGTAGTGGGGAGTGGGCCAGCTCCATGGCAGTGAGCCCATGGTGAGCAGAGGGCAGCAAGGCAACCACCAGCTCAGGCCCATGCCATTTTGCAGCAGCAAGCCCAAGCCGTTGCCCTAGCAACGCAAACTCTAGCCTCATATCCACGTGCGCCACACGCTAAGCAGCCCACTCCTGTGGCCTAGCTTGCTTCTATGGTTTAGTCTGCTTCCGTGGCCCAACCATTTCTGGTGGCCCAGCCTGCCCCCGCGGTCCAGCTTTCTCCAGTAGCCTTCTAAGTAGCCCAAATCGGTCCAAGATTAGTTCAACCATCTCGGCTTCAAATTTCTGGGCTGACAATTGAACCGAGGGCATTTTCACCTTATTTCTTTGCGGATTTGACATTTCCCAACTCAAATCTCGCACCCAAAGTCCATTACACTTCCGCTACTCAAGGAGACGCATTCTGCCCCAGCTTTTCTAAGCCATATGAAGAACAACACTTGTCTTGACAAGTTATAGAGTTGACGAGCGCCATAGTACAACAAACGACCTTGGTGAATTAGCTCTTGTAATGCACTGAGATGCAACGTGCCCCTAACGAGGTGTCCCGAAGTAGGACAAGGGCAGACAAATAACCTCTCTAGCAGCATCCTGGCAAGCAGCCACTCGACCAACCACGAACCGAGTGTTCCGGCAATGTACACTTTCGACCTGGCCCCCGAGATAGCGTATACTCTCGTCTTAGCGCGCGGAGGAGCGTGAACTCTCGGTTAAGCCCATGGACGAGCATACACTCATGGTTAGCGTCACACTCTGATAATCAACATGAGCAACCTTCCAAGCGAAGTGTTCATTCGCG